TGAAATATACAGTACCCTACCAAAAATGGAAATTTATTCTATAAAAAAGGAAATAGCTCAAATTTTTGTAACATCCTTGTGACAGAGATATATGTGACAATTAAACTTGTGAGGCTTGGGTGGTAGGAGTTATGGAATACTTACCAACTCCAAAAATAAATTCTTATTTGTTCTGTATATTTCATAAAAAGAACCTTTCTGTATACATAATGAAAGTAATTAAAAAAAAATTTGAAAATTTTTCTTGAATTTGATACATGGGCGCAGTAATTTGATGGCTTATGATGTTACGCACTGTACTGCCAATGATAAGAACAAACCTAAACTTGATCCTAACAGTAAAATAATTGTTTGTGGACAACCTGGTATGATAAATGTAGTTGAGAAATCATTAAAAAATCTAGGTTTTACTGAGGATGATTTTATATTGATAGCATAGGGAAAACCTTATGATTTTTAAAAATTATTTATAAAATGGTTTTTATACATATATTTATTTTTTTCCATGAATTAGCAATAAAAAAAAGAATTATTAATAATAACAAGAGAAACCAATTAATTGAAGGGATTGAAATCATGCAAAAGGAAATTTAATTTTTTATTTACAATTTAATTAATATATATATATATATATATATACATATTATGCATTATTTGTTCTAATAATAATAAAAATACTAATTTTTTTTTTACACATGAGTAATTTTTTTATAATAAGATTTAACAGATCTCCATTCATTCTGATAGACTTCAGAAGGAATTAATGATGGTAATAGACATAAAAAAAAAAGACCTTGAACTAATAATCAACTTCATAAACCAAAAGTTTTCTTTTGTGTTCAATAGATCTACTATGTTCATTCTGGCGTGATTCTTGTGATATTTGATCTTTGCATTTATTATAATCACCAAATAAATTTAGCTTTTTTGCCTCCTCTTCTAACACTGGTACTACTTGATCTTTAAGGTAACTCTCAGAATAAATAGCGTAGGCATCACCTTGATATATTGGTGGGTCCCTATAACTACAACAATTTTGAAGAATCATATAAAGATCAACTTTAGAGTATCTGAGAGGATTAGCTATCTTTTCAGAGAATGTTTTAGCAACTTGTTTATTAGGTCCAAGGCAAGACCAATTTTTTAACAAGTATTCCAATATAAGTCTCTGTTGGTGTGGCTTTTCTGCTTCATAGATTATTTGATTTTTTAATCTTTCCCAGTACTCTTTTGAAGGTTGTTCCTTAACCTCAGCAAAATGGAAAATCACTCTTTTGTATGAAGTGAAATGAGATCAGATATAATGAGATCTGTATTTTAATGTTAATTTCCCCTCCTCAATAATTTTATCAACAAGTTTGTTGATTTCCTCAATAAATCTTTTTGATTTTTTCATATACAAACTGCATTCTTTATTGTGATCCTCACATTCTTCCATGAATTTTTTTGAACCTCAAGCATTTTTTTACCTTCCTCATCATAAGTTTTAACAGGTTTTAATCCATATTCTCTAACATAATAATTTTTCTCAATAATATCTTTTCACCAGAACTGTACCTCCTTTATATTTTTCTTAAATAAATAAGGTAATCCTATAAAGAAATCATCACCTCTAATAGTCTTTTCTCTGAAATTGTTAAATAAATAAATGAATAAATATGATTATTTAATCAATTAAACTTTATATAATTACTTACTCTTTTATAGTGGTTCTTGCACAGTAACATTTAGTACAGCATCTTACACGAAACTGACAATGTATTTCAGTTGATTGAATAATACCACAAAATGTGCAGTATTGAGATGAAGCAAGGAAGAATCTAATATATTGTAATTCAGTCCATTTTTGTGGGGGAGGTCATTGCAGTCCTTCAAAATAAGCTGTTCTTGCTTTTTTCCAAATTTGTTGGGTTCCATCATCCATTAAGATAAAATGGAATCTTGAACACGTTTGCATCAGTGCCAACAAATTGGATGGTGGTAAATCTGGAAGAATATTTCAAGGGCATATTTGAGAAAAGTGCCAATTGTTTTCTTCTGATGGGATATTTACGAAATTCATCATCATATTTATCTATAAATTTTTCGTCAATCTTGGCATACTCGTCAAAATTCAAATAATACTTTGGTGGTAAAAGATGAGATTTTCTAATATAATAATAAATAAATAAATGAACAAATAAATAAAATAAATAGCTAGAGTGACGACTAGTGGCGGGCGATAACCACCACCACAATCCTTATGATAAACACTTACTCATAATCCTCACCAGTGACCTTTAATTGTCGTCTTTTGCAGTTTCCAGAAAGACAAAAAAAAAGTTTGTGATTTGATCGACGTGTACAACATCAATTATTTATCCTATTGGTTTTTTTTGGGAGGACAGAAGCGGATTGATTGATTTTTTTTTTGGAAAAAAACAGAGTCCAAGGTGACAAAACGTAAGTGTTGTTGTTTGGTTTGGTTTGAGTCACCTAAAGAAAACATGTTAATAACTAACCAGAGGTGCTTTTTTTTATTTGTATTGATATTTTTATTTTAGTTAATAAATATTTTAATTGGAATCAAAACGCGGAGCAGATCTTGCTGGGTAATAAGATTCTTATAATAAATGATTGATTTTTGCTTTGCATAATCATAATAATAATACTATTATTAATATATAATTGCAAGAAGATGTCAAGGCAATATACCATTGAAAAAGAACCAATTCAAATATGCAATGTTTGATTATCGGAAATTGGCAGGCGTTGAAGCACACACGCTACATTGAACACTTGCAGTCATTCTCTCATCTTCCTCGTGTACATAAGGCTAATCGGACTTGCTCCCCTCGAAGATACAATGATGCAACCAAATTCCAGGGGGGTGGTGGCATGGCCGAATTAATTCACTGGTTGAAAGTTGCCTGCAACGATCTTACTCTAGGGCAAGGATGACTCTGTGACCAAGCTGTTACAACTCTGGGGAATATTAAGAATCTGCAACTTGTTCAAGCACAGAAGGTTACAATTCAGAGCAGGGTTGGTTACCCTGAAATTGCATTTGGACTCTGATGTTAAGAGGAAAGTTGTAAAATAGTGTTTGTTTTGTATAATCATTTTCCTAAATTTTCTGATTGGCAAAAGTATCAAACATCACTGATCGACCACCTATACAAGAACTAACAGTTATTATTATCCAAAGTCATTATCACATTTTGTTGTATTGTGTTAATGTGATTGCTGTAAACGTATGGCTGACTCCGATTGGCCAAAGAAACGTAAAGTAAATAAAATAGGAACATTATAGGGGCCATTTTTATTGTAATTCATTATTATTTGTACCTTAAAGTGTGTTTACATGTTTGCCAAAGCTTTCTTGGTAAAAGAAAGAGACAGTAATCAGGAAAATTCAATAATATATATATATATATCAATTGACAAGTGTGGGCCATAAAATGTAAGATAATCAAAAAGCTACCTTTGCAATATGTAATTCATGTCAAAAATATTATTGAGTTTGCCTTTAAACAATCTTTAACCTGTCCCAATCATTCCTACGAGGTACTTACAGATCGTATAAACCTCTCACCTTTTACTAAAGGTTTTTTATGTGGGAGTTTCATTAAAATGGGGCAATAAAGAAATTTTAGAATAATGTACTTTTTTATATATATTTAGTTGAGCGGGCTGGTTTTTGGGGCTAACACTAAAAAATTAAAAATTTTGGGGTACGACACGTAAATTTCCATATTTTTTTTTTGTGATTTTTTGTGGAAGGAGTAAAAGTTTAAATCCTTTTTAAGAATTACCTGTATATTGAAAAGACATTAAAATTTATTTCTTTTTACAAATTAAATATACTTTAATAAAACAATTTTCAAATCATGTTTGTCTTTAAGAGAGGTATGTAAATAGAATATATAACGTGCGCAATCGGGAAAGATTAAGTAGTGAACTAACACTAACACAATATTTTTTCATTCATTCTTTACAAAGATGGTCGAAAAGAACGTGTCGCTTTTGATAAAGTTAATATTATTTATTTATTATTGTTATTATTTTTTGTTGTTGCTATAGCTACTACATATTAACCAAAAAAAATTTATTTACAATATAGATTACTTCACGTATTAATAATTTGTCTTATGGTCTTGACTTGAACTTTGTTGATCCTGCAGCAGTTACTCAAAAGGTTCATAACACGCTAAATTATAATTTGGTATTTACTTGATATTATATATATATATATATACTGAATAAATTATTATATAATGTAGGTAATTTCTGGTGTATATCAAGGTGTCACCACTGTTGAACTTGATTTATTGGCTGCAGAAA